AAATTTTTTTTTTTTTTTTTTTTTTTTTTTTTTTTTTTTTTTTTTTTTTTTTTTTATTAGAAATTCTATATGCAGAATATTTGCAGAATGAAATCTTTAGAAGACTAAATACATAGGCTGTAGTTGGAAATTTTCTATCGGAGAAAGGATGATGGTGTTAAAAATAATGTTCAGTTTTCTACATTTGTTTCGCATCTTTTTCCTCAGTGAATTATGTGTAGATAGTGTTGTGGTTTGATATTTTTTTTTTTTACTACCCTCCATCAACTCTGATTATAATTGCAGGAGCTGTGGATTTGGATGCTTTAACAGATGAGAAGGAGAGGAAAGCTTTAGAAGGGATGATTAACAATTTTGGACAAACACCCTGTCAACTGCTAAAGGTAAATCTCCATATCCATCCCTGGCAGTAGGAGGCAAGTAACCTTGAGGACCAAAGTCCTGTTAACCTTTAATGAAATTTAAGCACTTGAGAATCTAAGTCACTTTTTTAAAATAGGAATTAAACTCCAGAGTCACTTAGGAGCCTTTGAAAATTCTCCCTGAACACCTCAACTTTTGAAATAACTAAAATAGGTGTATCCGTATGTGTGTAGGAAAGGTCAACATTCTTGTCTCACCCTGAATACCTTATGAGCTGTTTGCTTGGCTACAAGTCTTTCTCCTAGCACAAAAAGGGGGTCCAGGATAGTTTGAACCATAGGTGAATGCACCCCCCACCCACCTTGACAAACAGCTATTTAGAGGTGACCAGGTAGGGGCGGGGCATTCTCCCCAGGGCTCCAGGACAGTTCCAGCCCATGCCCATCTGCCTTCTGCCCCTTTGCATCCCTCTGGGGTAACTTGGAAGGGTACACTGAGCAGCAGGGGTATTCTGCCATTTCTCAGGCAGGTACAGCTGCACTGCCTCCCAGATACCTGGAGCTGTGCAGGGGATGGGAGGCAGAGGCAGGTTGGAGACATCTTGTTTGTCATGGGGGCAAAGGAGAGCAAGGGAGCAGCTTCACCTGCTTGAAGAGCTCACCTTTGACACAACTTCATTGCTCTCTAGCCACAGGTCTGAAATGCTTGTATGCCTCCCTCCTTTGGCTTCTCTTTAGGGAAATTTGCAGTGCTGAAATTAAACACCTGTCCATACCCCATGGCACAAGGCAGCATCATGCAGAGAGAGATTTCTCACTAGCCTAATGTGCACTTGTTCCACAACCAGAAGCAGTACAATTGTGTTACTGTAGCATGGCACACAAGCTAAGAAGCTGAAAAGTATTAGTCAGCAGGCTAAGTACTAACCAGAAGCTAATAAACATGGCACAATAACACAGCTATGCTGCCTTTAGTTCCTGAGCTAGCACCCACTGAGTTAGTACATGATATCTCAGCATAGTGCTGCTTTGTTCCTTGTAGACATGTCCTGTGTGACTTGAATAAACCTATTAAAGGTCTTGTATAATTTTGACTGTATCTTTTCGTAGGAACCTCATCCTCCTAGATTATCTGCAGAAGAAGTGGTGCAGAAGCTGACCAAAAGTGATACTTCCACCCTGAATCTTTTCCAGCATCTCCCTGAGCTTAAGTCATTTTTCATTGAGGTATAAGCTGACAGACACAGCACATCTTCTATGTCTGTTCTGAAACTTGTTTGTATACTGAATAAAAGGTCATAAACCAACAATTTAAAGAATGTATTATATCCCTTTAGAATCAGTTTTTCCTTTGTAATGAGTTTGTAAGTGTTGAGCGCCACAAGTTACTGGCCCTCATCTTACAGTAGTTACGTAACACTTATTTTGACTATCTAAATGCTATTCTTTTAATCATTTTTTGCATCCCTAGCCATGTCTCCCTGCTTCCTATGTGACTGCCCTCTGGTTGGACAAAGTCATGTATGGTGAAGTCATGGCCCACTGATTTCAATGACAGAACTCCCACTGACTTAAATGGGGTTAGAATTTCACCCTCTGATATTAGTGGCAAAATGCAGCCATTTTAGATATATGTGTACCTGTGCCCACTACTATAACTCAGTGGGTTTTTTTCCTGTTTCTAGCAAGTCACTGAATTATCTGTACCATCTCTCAATATTTGTTTGCCAGCTGAAACTGTCATTTTTCTTAGGGAATCAGTGATGGTGTTCCCATTGTGAAGGCGGCTGTCCCTAGAAACCAGTCACGTTCCTTTATGTCTCAGGGGAGCCCGGAGATCTTGGTGAGTCGTAAGTGAAATGCTGGGGAGTCAGATTTCATTAGAAATTCCTGAATAACGATTTTTTCTAAGTTACAGAAAACCATCATTCCTATATCTGAAAAGTGCCCACTTGTCCCAAGGCAAGGACAAAGTTATAAGCTGAGTGTTTGTAGTATGAAATGACATTAATCAAAAAGAAATATAAAGCATAGACAAGGTGTTACAACAAGGTATCTCCTTAGCAATGTAAATAACCAACTTGATCTATACTCTACTGCAGCATGACAACTCTCTTGTTTTTCTAAACTGTTATATTGGAGAATTAATAGCTGCAGTGCATTCTTTACTCCTGTAAGAGCCTTTGAGTGGGGGGTTGGACTAGATGACTTCCTGAGGTTCCTTCCAGCCCTAATTTTCCATGATTCTATGATCCTTAATTTTTATCATTGGAAATCTATTCTGATTTATGTGCATTACACATGACTGCATTGTTCCTAAAATTTAATTTTGTATTGATAAAAGTATGGGTACAGTAATGGTCCTGATCCTAATGATGTTGGGAGTAAATAATTTGTTACTTTCTGTATTTAAGGTTTTGCAACTACTCTCCTTCCTGTAGCATCTGAGCATTTTCTGATTGTCTTGTCTTCCTTCACTCACATTTGCATAGACCAAATTAAGTACACACATATATGACCTGTGCTTATGTTAGTTAGGATTTGTACATGTGCATCTAAAGACTTGGTTCTGTTTCTTTCAGGTTGCTGAAAAAGTACTGCAGTGCATTCAAATGAGATTACTTTCACACTGACTCAGGAACAAAAATGTTATTGGGAGTACCTTAAATTTGTCATAACTTTAAATGTTAGTTATTACAACTGATTTTCAAAGAGAAGAAAACACAAGAATTAAATGGCTGTGAAATACATATGTAAATCATAAGCCTTCTTTCAAGGCTGCATCTCACGTGCTAATCTAGAACATATACTGTTTTATGTCAGCAGTATATGCAGCATAAATCAGAATTGCAAGCCACTGATTACTGAGAAAAAAGGGAAAAAATACAAAAAGATAAACGGTAATGGTTCATCCTACCATCGTGCTATCCACAACTGTGAGCTTCATTAATTAGGTGGTGAACTTTCAAGGGGCCTATGTTGGCTCATATGTAATCTCTCTTATTGAGATAGATGCACCAAGAAGAATGTTTTTCACAAATACACAACTTAATTTATTTCTTTCAAACTTTTTTAGGTAACCGTAAGCCTGAATTGCATTGTTGGAACCCATGGGTGGCTACCTTATGATAGAAATATCTCTAACTATTTTACATTTCTCAAAGATACAACTGTGACAAACCCTAAGTAAGTAAAGAGGACAAAATGTGCTGTAGTGGACATCCACTATAACAAAATATTTTGACGATAGATACTAGAATAATAGTTTGATAATAATTTGATAGCACCCCTTCGATTTGTTGAAATGTTATTTAACAAGTTAGCTCCTAGAGTGTATTGTATATTTTTTGAAGAATTGTACATTCCCTAATATTAATTCACAGTCCTGTTCTAAAAACAGTGCAAATGACATTGCAAGATGTCATGCAATTCCGCTTTGTTCTCAGTCAGGTTTGCCATTAAAATGTTTTTTCCCTAATTGCCAGCCTTGCAAAGTCTCCCTGAACTGTGAGTTAAGCTGGGCTCATTCCTTCCCATGCATTATGATCTATAATAAGGATTCTGCAAACCTGCCCTTAGTTATATATGTGCCTTCCATTGTTGCCTTATGTTCTTATCTAACGCATTGGGTACTTGCTGCCATCGGAGACAGAATGATAGGCTAGATGGATCTCTGGTCTGTTCAGGGTGCCAGCTCTTACACTTTCATGTTCAGCAATGCCTTTAGTGACTTGTGTGCAGCTTCTATTGCACTTACCAGTTCTGCACAAGGTAAGTGACTGGAATTTAACAAAGTAATTTGTTGGCCTTGGGTCAAGGATGAGAGTGACCACTATTTCTTTCTCTTAGGCCCCCTCTACACATGCAGGTAAAGGCGCAATGGGAATTTAATGTGATTCATACAGTCACGCCTGCTGCCAAACCACTTGTGCATAGCAGGAAGCAATTGTGGGACCGTGCATTAGATCCCGTCATACCTGTGGCAGGGCACCTTTTGGGCACTTTAAGGGCTGAGGCAGGCAGCTGCCAGGTGCCTGATGAGGGTGGCCATTCTCAAACATAGTCCAGCCAGGCAGGGCCAGCAGTTAGCTGCTTACAGCTGAGGGGAGCATCACCATCCAGCTCCACTGTGGTGTGCAACATTCTGGAGGTAAGAGCAGGAGCTAGGAGGATGGCTTGGAGGCTCCTCATTCTGGGAGACCTAAAACTGCAGCCTGCTGGGGTGGGTGGCTTGGTGGGGCTCCTGGTGACATGGGAGCCCCCAGGAAATGCCAGGCCAGTTACCGCCCTGGTGAAAGGTGAGTATGAGATACCTCCTAACCCCAGCACCACATCCATGGTGGAACTAAGACTGGACCGGGGGAGCCCAGACTCCGGGTGAGCTCCGAGGCAGGGCGCGGGTCAGGAGGAGGGACCCTGGGCAGCACTTAGGCTCATCATAGAGTCCTATGGCTGCAGAGGGGGAGCCAGAGGGAAGCTCCCAAGAGTAGTGGCCTGGAGAGGGGGTGTAGTGGCCTGGAGAGAGGTGAGAGTAGTGGCTCTGGTGAAGGGGCTGAGAGAGACAAGTGAGAGAACCCAGTGTGGGGGTGCTGGGACTACAAGCTCTGGTGGGGAATGAGAGTCCTATGTGAGGCTCCAGAGCTCGGGTCCCTGTGCTAACCACTGAAGAAATATCTGCAAGACATGGGACACATAAAGGGGAGGCCGGAACGTGTACTAAGGCCCTGGTGATCAGGAGGGCAAAGAAAATGGGTAG